AACCCGAGCCCTACGGCATCCCCGCACTTGAGCTCTTCGGCAAGGTCAAACCCGAGCCCTACGGCGTCCTCTACCTTGAGCTCTTTGGCATGGTTGAACTCGAGCCCTACGGCGACTTCGACCTTGAACACCATGAGAGGGTCAGACGCGATAGCTGTGACCTCCCAGGATCAGAGGCCGGTGGAGTGGTTGGATCCGGGCTCTATGGAGTCTGTGAGACTGGGTAGAAGAAGAAAGTCGTGGGGTACTTCCTCGACTACCGGTGGTGGAACAGGTATCCTGGTGGTGGTTGCGGCGTTGAAGGTCAAGGGGGCGGAAGCCCAGGGTGATCAGCAGCTGGAGAACGCTTCCGGGGCGTTGACGGTCCTGGTAGTGGTGGTGGCGATCATGTCGGTGATCTGCTACAAACTGGTGGGAGATGGTGAAGGCGATTCTGCAGCAGCGGAGACGCGGAACTGTGGAGATCCTGGTGGAGAGCCGGGAGGTGCAGACGACTTCGGAGGAGACGGAGCAGGAGATCAGAAGGCGCGTGTGGGAATCGTGAGGAGCAGGAAATGGAGGAGGAGGACTTTCGAATGGAGAGTCGCTCGGCGAGTTGGAGCTCGGAGTCTTCGAATGGTGGTGTTCGCCTTCGGCAGAGGAGGCATGACACGCCAAGGCCGATGGGGAGCGTCGCGGAGACCCCGGTGGCAAGGCAGGAAGAACCGCAGCGGGAGCCGGTGGAGCTGTATCACCTCACGCACATGGGGGAACGGTACCACTGGAACCGAGAGTGCTGGGGATTGAGGCAGGCGACGATCAGGGGCATGAGGTAGCTGCTGCCGTGCCCGAACTGCTGGCTGGGAATGAGGATGCAGAGGGATCGCAATGCCACGGCGTGGAAGGGAGAGGATGGCCGGCTGCATTCGACCCCGACCTGCGTGCCGTTGTTGGCACACTTCAGGAGCATGCCGCTCCGACCTTGCAGGTTTTGTGTCAATGGGGTGGTGGAGGACCCGACGGCGTGAGAGAAAGGCTTGAGCAGTGGTAGGTGTTTTGGATGAGACAGCCGATAAGGGGCTGAATCTCGATGCCGTGTGAGCACTTGCTCCATGGTCTTTGATCATCGCGCAGAGATCCCTGACCCGTCAGGGAAGGGGAGCCCATGCCTTTGTGGATGAGAAATAGGAGATTTCGCTTTTTAGCTTCTGAGGTTAGAACCCCATATATAGCTTTCAGCTCGGGAACAAAATGCCACTTCAAGCCATCCCCACGATTTGAGCTACCACGTTTCTCACGAATCTGCGCGCCATCGTTCTCGCCGTTGTTGAAGTTTTCCGCAAAGCTGTTCGAGTCTTTCCACTCCGGCCAGTGTTTCCTGATTCGTTCCCTTTGTTTGTCCGAGTTGTTGCCGTTTCTCCGCGTTGTTCCGTTTTTACTGCCCAGTGTTTCTGGGTTTTTCAGCCAAGTTTTTCTGAGTTTGTTTGGTCAGTTGTTCCAAGTTTGCCCCTGCCAATTTACGAGTTTGGCCCGCTCTTCCGCCCAGCTTGTCCAAGTTTGTCCCGCTCTGGCCAATGTTCCGAGTTTTTCCGCCCAGTTTTGCTGAGTTGTTCCGCCAAGATTCCGACATTTTCCCGCTTCTCCATCTTACGTCTTTCCAGCCGGTTTGTCCGATTTATTCTGACTCGCGGTAGTTTTTCCGAGTTTGTCCGACTCCGGACACTTCTTCTGGGTGTTTACGTGCAGTTGTTCCGAGCTTTTCCGGGCCAGAGTCTTTCTCGCAGAGCTTGTCGGTGTTGTTCCAGCATGATGACGGGTAAGTTTTCGCATTTTAGTCACCATGCTTCAGTCCTAGTCCCAAATGTTGCGGCGTTGCTCCTGGATTTGGTAATCCTGGCATCCTCTTGGGAGCAACTCTATTTGCATGAAGAGGAGGATAATCGTGGGGCTCGTTCAAGGACTCGTGTCAGTCATGTTTTCATCTTGGACCGCGGTTTGGATGTTCGTTTGCCGTGGTGTTGTGCGTCGAGCGTGTCTGAGCATTGTGTCACAAAGAAGTTGGTGGACGGGTCCTTAGCTTGGACAGTCGGCGAGAGCATGAGGCCACAATTTGCAGGTAGCAACAGATTGGAGGCTATGGACTTTGGCCAGGTGCTACTTGCAGTTTATGAGGAAACACCCTCTACAATGGAAGGAAAGCGATGCATACAAGCAGGTCGCCCAGTGATCAGCCATATGCAGTATACATATCTGGGTCTTCAAAGTCGGGACAAGGCTACAGCTTGGTGGAATCACCTTCAAATCGGGCTTGGCATTCGCTCAACCTCGTTGGTCGGCACCTCTACCCTCCATCGACGAGCGTATGCGAGCGCGTGGTCAAAGCACGGCCTCGCGCTACTTTTCAATGGACGCAAATGGGAGGGTGCAGGGGGGCTAGTCGCAGCGCAGATCTAACAAATCATATTGTTCAAAGGAGTCTTCTTTTGTGAAGCTGCCTTTTCGGTTTCCGTGTTGAATTGCAGGTGAGCTTTCTTTCAATCCATACACCGCTTTGACCCGTTTGGCCGTGCTTGGCTAAATGCTTGTTTTGCCCACCAGAGCGCAGTCCAAAGGATGCTTAGTTCATTGTTTGTGTTACTCGCAAATTGGGGTTGTTTGCTCTCGGCGGGTTTTTTTAAGGACGGAGATGTGTGCTTGCTGCCCCCTCATGTTGTTGTTGGATTGCGTTTGCGTTTGCGTCTTCACCCAAGCATTGCCCATCGTTTTTTGGGAGGAATTGTTAGTTATTGTGGTGTTTTGGCGATTCTACATGGCAACATTTTGCCCTACCAAACGTTCCCCTGTACTTGCAGCCCATTTTCAGCAATGGACGTTCCCGTTGCTGTGAAAACATCATATTATTCTCGTTCGACGATTGTTTTTTTCGAGATGGACAGAGTTGTTCAGGGAACCCTTAGTTGTGGTTTGGATTGGCGGTTCGGGGATTTGAAGCCCTGGTTGTTGTACAGGGTACTCCGGGTACTCCTAAGCACTCAACCTCCAACTAAAAATTGGCTGAGTTGTTCTTTGGTCCAAAGCCTGCGCCGGCGTGCGTCAGGCAGCCATCTCGCCGCCTGCCTGATCTTTGGCCTTGTTGTGATGGATGATTCAGCACAAATGTGACCATATTGCGGGGGTCCCCTTAGTTTGACACAATATAACATTGGGTATGTCTGATTGGGGAAGTGTTAGCATGGGTGTTTTTCTATTTCAGTATCCCAAAGCTTACCTTCAAAACAAGACACCGCCAAGCGTCAACTGTGGGGAATGATGATTTGTCCATCTCGGTCTGCGTGTGTTACTGGTTAAGGTTTTTGTTGTCATGTCTTCAGATGCACGGGTGTCCATTCTTGGTTTGGATTGGTAGTTTGAACTTGATACCCAGTATTCTCTGGTCCATTTGGGGTGGACACCCCCCAAAGGTTCCCGCAAAAAAAAGACAAAAAAAAAACACGGGACTCACTCCTTTTGCCGCGTCCTCGGCTGCATATTTGACCAGCATGCTGTGATCGGCTTGCTGGAAAGGTACGAGCGAAGTCTTCTGGGGTGAACCCACGCTTCAATTGCTGTCCAGGTGATCACTTGTTCAAGGCATTCGATTTCTTCTAGATGGCACCTCGCCTCAAAGCCGCCTGCTTAGCTGTGAAGAGCCTTTGATATTCAAACCTTTCCCAAGCAAGCCATCTGGTCGTTTGGGTGTTGGATGGAACTCGCTGCTTCTGAGTTCTGTTGTCCTACCTTGCTTTTTTTTTGTCTTCTTCTTTTTTTGATGAGTTGTCCTGCCCCGCACATGCTTGGAATGGGCATACCTGATTGCTTGCACAAGCAAAGGCAAGCCTGCCGTCAAAAGGCTTCACAATTACAGTCATTACTCAGCAATCCAAGTTGGTGTTTGACAAGTTGAGGTTTGTCCCTTGGTTCATTACTTGAGATGGAATCAAGCTGGAATTAGGATACTCATGTTTATGTGAGGAAGAGACACATATAATATAGGAACGTTTCAACAAGAGAAGATCATCAAAATGGGTATATGTTCTCCGTGGCTGGCTTTAAGAAAGATACACATGGTACCGTCACAAGGAGAAACAAAATAAACACCAATCTCATGCGCACACACACAAACACATACATAGACAGACGCGGAGAGAACACACACACACACACTTGCACACATACACACATTCAAAATGACACACGCATATATGCACACATACATACTCACTCATATATACACATACACATACACATACACGCATACACACATGCACACATTCACACATACACACCTACAAACACACACACACACACAAACACACACACACACACACACACACACACACACACACACACACACACACACACACACACACACACACACACACACACACACACACACACACACACACACACACACACACACACACACACACACACACACACACACACACACACACACACACACACACACACACACACACACACACACACACACACACACACACACACACACACACACACACACACACACACACACACACACACACACACACACACACACACACACACACACACACACACACACACACACACACACACACACACACACACACACACACACACACACACACACACACAGACACATGTGTACATACAATTCACACTTACACACATTCAACACACATACATGCATGCATAGATGAATACATGCATACGTGCATGCGTGCATATGTGAATACATGCATGCACGCATATAGACAAACAGACAGAGACAGACAGACACACAGACAGGCAGACAGGGAGGCAGGCAAGCAGGCAGGCAGGCAGGCAGGCAGGCAGGCAGGCAGGCAGGCAGGCACTCATGCATGCATGCATGCATACATGCATACGTACAGACAGACATAGTTACATGCAGACACACGCACGCACACACACACACACATGTGTAGTTCCGCCCCACAGCACTCTGAGCTCGTTTCAGCCAGGCTTGGGCAAAGGACATGGCCCACACGCAAGGAGAAAAGGTGTTTTGTGCGAAATGCGGAGACACCATCTGGGATCGTCTCCATCCAGCAGTACTGTATTTGTTTGTGTGTTTAAATGAGTGCTAAATCTTCAGTGTTTTGTTAAAGGAAGCCAAAGGGGATGAGGATTCGTTTTGTTCCAGACCCCCCGTTTAGCACCAAGACGGCCCGGGTAGATGCAGGTTAGTATGGGACGAACCCAACCATACGTAGATGCGAGCAGACGCTTGTAGTAACTACCAGGTCTTGATCGTGACTCACATGGGATGCGGCCCGCTGGTTGTTGTAAATTGTGTCTGCCCAAACCACCAGTAGTCAACAGAATACTGGTCCTTTTAGTAATTGGCTCCTATAGGCCATCACATGGTATGAAAAGGATATTAAAACATGGGGGGGTTATTCGGCACTGATATCCCGTTTCGGGAAATACATATTTTTGCCACGGATCTTCTTGGCCAGGACAAGACCCTGTCAGATGGGTAGACCCGTGCTTGCGGGTCCCTCGGGTCAGATCTGGGAGAAACAAGAGACCCGTGCCATTCTCAGGTGCCAGCCTTTGGACATGCGGGGGAGGGGTAGCTGGGTTTGTGATCATAAGATATCAAGGTGTGTAATTCGGTTGCCCCTTATGCTACAGTGTCTAGGCGTTGGTATAGCATTCGGATCATGGTGCCTCGCTCGGCCTCAAGCCTCAAGCGTCTCTGTTGTTTGCACAATCAGCATGATGTTGGCCAGGCTGGGGCACGGGAGATCAAGCAAGCTGCGCATGGGCCAAATCCGCCTCGCACCAGTTGATACGTGGTTTGTGCCAAGCCTAAGGTTTCGTCCATGCCAACTGGTGCGAAGTTTGTTTTTGTCCATCCACAATGCGGCCTCTTGAGGGTCGCGACGAAGAAGGGCCACCATCTTGACAGGTCACTTCAGTCTGACCTGGACCAAAACACGGCCTTTGTCCTCCGAGAAAAAAAAGAAGAAGCCAACAACCCACGGTTGCCATTGAACACGGTGTTTTCCCGGATGGTCACAGACAGATGCGAGACGAGGCCGAGTCCAGATAGAGTTGTAGAATGCAATGCATTGACATCGGTTCCTGACTGATTTGATAGTTGTTTCATGGATTGTCCAAGGAATCATGACCAAGGGTGACGCGGTTCCTAAAACTACCGTCACCATTGGACGGGATCTCCCGCTTTAGGTGAAATGCAAAGCGTGTCTCTGTAAACCATGTTCTTGTGAGCAGTCGGGCTGTGCGCGTGATTGTCCACCAGGTTGGTTTGCACGCCATCTGAAATGCTCGTCGGACGACCATTTGAATGTTCAACGCGACCCGTTGGATCCCAGCTGCTAGCTACTGACAAACCCGGAGGCTCCGGTTCTCTGATACCGTCAAAAACGTAAGTACACGGACCGATGCACGGCAAAAAACTTGGCACCACGGTGGATGGACGAAATCCACTTCGCACCAGCTAAGAAACCCTGGAATGATGGTTCGCCTGTAAATACCAACAAAGAGTGGTCTGAATTGTGGTTTCAAACTGGTGCAGGATTTCGTCCATCCACAGCATGAAACTTTAAGTAGAGCGATCAAATTATGTATGCAAATAATTGTTCAGTTTCCGCATGGACCCGGGTCGTTTTTTTTTTTGGCTGCATGTAGTGTCCCTGCCTGGAAGAATGACCCTTGGTGGCTTTCCTTTGGTTGATTTAAAATTTATGTGTTTCCTGAGGTCTCTGTCCTTCTACCATGGAAGTGCCCAGTCCCAGAGAGCACCAGTCAAGGCGCCTCTTTCACGCTGGCGGAGTAGCCTAGGTCCCCCAGTGCCCTTCTCTCCCCTTTTTTGGGGAGGGTTCCCTACTAAAATTGACAAAAAACGTTGGTTCCCATATTCTAACCTCTCAAATCTGGAGGACCTAGCATTGCAGTTGAAATCTCAGTTGTTCAGTGGCACCCTTTTTCCCTTTTTTTGGTGGCTGCCCCACTAAAAATGGTCTAAGCCCCAAAAAGGGTTCCCTTTTTTTCCAGGGTCACTGAACAACTGAGAAATTGATTCCCACTTGGGGCCCTTTGACTTGGCTTGTCGCAGGCTCGCAGTTGCGCTTGTGCTGCGAGAAGGCGAGCCGGATCGGATCCGGAGTTGATTCGTTGCACGTATTGGTTGGGACCCAGATTCTCATGCAACCCCAAAAAGGGATGCGCTGAAAAAGAAATTCCTCCAACAGTGATGGTGTCTAAAGTTATTTTTGTCAATGTGCTATGAGCAGCTGAAGTGTTGGTGTAGTGATCTACTTGCTTGTCCATGACTGGGGTCATTGCCAGTTACCCCACACAAGAACACGCAAAGTGGTACGTTTATATATTAAATGCGTATATGCATAGTATACACATATGCATGCACACATGTATATGCCTGCATATTGCTTGCATTCTGGCCGTGCTTTTGTATCTTTTATTTATTCTCAGAGATGCGTTATGTAGATTGGCGCTCCACCCATTGAAGAATGTGCCTCTCTCGCTTCCAGCCTATCGGATTTGGAACGATGATGCGACGGGGCTTGACGCATGTGACCAATACTGTGAGCACTGCCGATGACAACTTATGAAGATGCTCTTGCTAGGGGCGGATGATGAATATATAATATGGATATGGGTCAAAATTAAACCACCAGGGGACAGGTTTTAGTCCATGTTACCACTCGCAGGGTTCAATTTTGGGTACCTATTTTGGACCCAGAGCCATATGTCCATTATACCATTGCACGGAGGTGGCCTTCTAATCTGTCTGATTCCTAAACGGGGATCCTTTGGAGTCCGTGTTTGTTTTGCACCTTGAGCTTATACCGGGTTAGGCTTCCTGCTGCATGCACCCTTTCTTTGCTCCCCAGGATCCCAGCGACTTGAGTTTGGAGGGTATGGCAAGGATCCCTCGATACAATTGCTGTGTGTTGGATTCGTTTGAGGACCTGACAATGCTTTCAGAGTTGCTGCAGATTCGTTCTAGCCCGGATCGGTGCCCGCATTTCTTTGCATGGATGCTAGGAAGCGGCCGTGCTTTCACTAGCGAGTAACGGATTTGCAGTTCCTTGCCGCTTTGGTCACTGGAACTCGCACCATCAGTGCATTGTTATGGGGTTGCCTATCTGAGTATCTCCGGAAATTTGGAACTCCATATTTTTCCTCGCAGTTTTCTTGACCTCAGGAATCTACTTACCATCCCTTCCAGCAACAAAGAAGGAAGACACATGCCTGGGGCATGTGCTAGTTGATTCTGGGGAGTGGATATGGCCGAAAAAGCACTCCTTGTAGTGCGCTGCGTTCGAGGTCTCAGCCTGCGCCAAGATGCCTTCGCCGGTGGGAAGAACGGCTGCGATGCCGTTGTAGGCAACGCCGCGAAGCGCAGCGCCGGGTTTCTTGCGCGGCCAAAATTCCATGATACCCATTGGGCCAGCCTCTAGCCTGTAGTGTGCAGTTGAACCCCATCTCTCTGAACAAACTGGTACCATTGAAGCAGACCTGGTTCATTCCTGGCCAGTTGAGCGGAGGGGGGGGTACACGCCTCAGTGCAAAACAGGAAAAGTAGTTCTTTTCCGGGATGGGTCTGCACACACCATGTTCGCTTCAAGCAGATGGCAAATAGGTGGCCTTTGGCGCAGGGCCCAACTTGAGCCTGTTTGACAACACCTAGTTGGTTCGAGAGGCGACTTCTCACTGGCTGTGGAGTTATGCGGAAGGGTCTTCGATTTCTTGTTTTCTGCCTGCGGCATGGGCATGGTGGTCAAAATGAGTTGAATGCTTCTATCTTCTGCAAAGGACATGAGACTCCCATGAGTCCAACAATGTGGAGGGGTCTACCTGGCTTCGACGCTGTAAGACGATGCGATTACCTGGTCACCAAGTTGTTGAACATCAGGATATGCTAAGTTCAGGGGTACGGGCACGAAGAATTGCGCCTGACGAAGCCGTGAGCTGCATTAATCCCAACACCCTAGCATGGACGCCGACGTTGCATAGCACCTTTATCAAACCACTGTAATAATTATGTTTGGAAACACCACTTGGCTGCTTGGCTTGACGTTCAACCTTTGCTGCAAATTCCGACTTCAGAGTGTGGAAGAGCCGCCCACGGGGGGAGTGTGTGTGTGTGTGTGTGTGTGTGTGTGTGTGTGTGTGGGGTGGGTGGGTGGGTGGGTGGGTGGGGGCGGGCGGGCGGGCGGGGGCGGGCGGGCGGGCGGGCGGGCAGGCGGGCGGCGGGTGGGGGGTGGGTGGGTGGGTGGGTGGGTGTGTGTGTGTGTGTGTATGTATGTGTGTATGTGTGTATGTGTGTGTGTGTGTGTGTATTTGTGTGTATGTGTGTTTATGTGTGTGTGTGTATGCGAGTGTGTGTTATTTTAGGGTGCCCCGTTTTGGTTGGTCTTAAAAGGAAAATCAAAGGGAAAGCTAGAATTGTGGGGGTCTCCTAAAAAAAAACGGCCATGTGTGTGTGTGTGTGTCTTCAGATTTCAGCCACGGACGGGCTGCAGTAAGGAGTATGTAGCAACCTTGCCAGAAGATCGACAATTGCCTCGGGCAACTGATCCAGGATCTGCTGATCTGCTTTGGGGGCGCTTGCAAGCGATTGCTGCGAGAAAGCTGCAAACATAAACCGAACATAGCAGCCATCCTGTCTAGGTCTGACGCATGTGGCTGTTTGGCAATGCTTTGCTTTGAGCTTGCATATCCTCCCCCTGACAGAGAGTCCCTTTCTGAGGAAAATGATGTTCCGGGTACCCTCCGGCAGGTGGCATGTTAGTGACTGGGAGGAAGGGTATTGCTTTTGCTTCTGTGTTTGCTTTAATCCCCGCTGCTGGCATTTGAGTAAACCCTGAGAGGCAGAGATCAAACCCGGGCAGCTGCCTTTTTTTCGCGGTGCCTTGGCCTTCTTTTCCCGACTCTTGGAAACATGGCAAGGCTTAACTACGAATTAGCCTTCTGGACGTTTTGCCTTTTGGTTTCTGCGCGGTTTTTTGCGCAGCACACAGCCACAACTTGTTTGCGGTGGGCGTGAACACGTTGCTTTTGCCCAGCCTTTTGACGGGTCCTCGCTACGTCGCTACGCCAGGCGCCATGAAGCGTGAGGGGCTTCACTTCTTTGCCAAGCCTGGGGCCCAGACACTCGGAAGATTCCCCGATGAGGCACGGGGTGTAGAGACAGTAGGTCTGCAAGTTATGACGCGAGGACATGGCGACTTGGGCTTTGGGATCACTGCAGGGGGTCAATCGCGACGCATCTCCAATTTTGAGACAGTCTCTCATATCTCGAATGGCATCCAATCGGGACACAGCACGCCTGGGATTGTGGGCCTGTGGCTTTATTGGAGCCTAGGCTTCGGGGTTTTGCACTGAGGCTTTGGGTTATGCGCCAGGGATTTGTTTTTCCATCATGTGGCTTGTACTGCAAGCTGAAAGCTTGGAGCGTGGAGCAGTCCAGTCCTCGCCATAGCGAGCTCGCCGATTGCGGTACGATTTGGCTGCGTGAAGGTTTGCTTTGAGATCTGTTATTTGAGCAACGGTAAAACATCATCTGCAAACAGGGAATGTCATAGCGTACCTTACCAACTTCTGATATTGTGGCTGGAAATTAGGCTTGGCGAATTGTATGCTGATTCCATGATGTACCATGCTGAGCCCCACGTATGATTCCAGACAAATTGCTGTCTGAGTCTGGCCCAAGACTGATACGCCTTGGTTTTTCCCCAGAGAAACTCGCAATGCTTTTTGCTTGGAGACAGTTCATGTTCAACATGATTTTGTTCGCGGATTGAAGTCAACGAAACTACTATGGACCCTGCCATTACAATCAGCCAGGTTGTTATATATATATATTATACATATATATATATATATATATTATATATATATATATCCAGGCGGAATCTATCCATGTCCTCCTTGACAATGCATTTAGATCAATGCAAACTGCATTGGCTGACGTTGGGATGCGTTGGGTGCGATAGCTGCGTATTGTGTTTTGGACAGTCTCCTCTTGTATCACAGAAACATGATTGCCTTAAACAACCATCCTTGAGACCGGGGCTTGTGGCCATTGCTTGATGACCTGCTCTCAAGAATCACTGGGAATAAGTATTCCTCATATTCCCCTAGCGTGAAGGACTTTCCTGGCAGTCTGTCTCTGAGGCTCCCATTGAATACATTGAGCCTGTCACTGTATATGTGTGGACATGAGTAGCCACAACCATCCCCAGCTTGGCTTGGTCACTGAATACTCTGATTCACTGGGCTCCTCTCTGTTGAGCAACTCTGCAGCGAATCCTGTTGGCTGCATTTCAATGTGGAAGCCTGATAAGCTGTATCGCCCCTATGGGCCGCGTGGAGTAAAACTAAAACAAAAGGCTCAGTGGCTGTTGTGAAAAGGTGCTCGTCTTGGCGAGCTTGAGCAACACCTATCACAGGAAAGCGCCTTCGGCCACCCATTAAGTTGCCAGCATGTTCCATGGGGCAGGTATTTTCGACAACATGATGCCAGATCTCCGGGCTTGTTGAGCAGCCCACCAGCTGTGATGCGTGAGCCTTGCTCAATTGGCCATGGCAATCCATGAAACAAACGGTATGGTCCAGGAAGCAATGCCTCCTCCATTGGTCCATAGAGCTGATAGGCTCATGCGTGGAGAACGAGAACAACATGTCGTGAAAGCTTGGGACATCACCCATGAATCCATTGCCAACCATGGCTCCACTCACTAAAAGTGTTTTGGTTTCCAACATTAAAAATTGTCATTGTTGTATTCCCGCAACACATATCACACCATATTTCTCTCATCATGTTCAGCCCCACCTAGGTGCAAGTGCAGCGGTTACGAGGCCGTGCTTACTCACGAGTGCGGAGATCAAGCCGGCGCAGCTTGGCGCATTTCCCCGCTGGCACAAGCCCCCTGTTTGCCTCATCCCCGTTGCCCACTCAGGATGAGTTGTTCCAGACACCTCCAGCGTTGCCTAAGCCACTGATTGGGGCGATGTGTGTATTGACTTCAATCTGCTTGAGGCGTTTGTTCTCTTGGGTTTAGTGGCTGTTGTCGGTTCTCTGTTGGGCAGCAACGGAAATGCTCATGACTGGAAGATGTTGGATTGTAGCGGGACCTTAAGCAAATGGAAACTGAATTTGGCACTGCTGGGCTCAGCCTCCCCCAAAGGCACCTGATATTTATATGGCTGTGGGTCAACACCAATGGTACCATTTTGGGGTAGGTGCACCGGTGCACCACCATTTTAGTCTATTTTAGTGGGGATTGGGATGTTCACTGGGGGTACGGGCGTTTGACCTATGGCCATGTATACCAAACGTGAGAAGCACAGCTTCCTTTAGTGCAAGCTCATTGTGCGCGTCACGATCTGTGAAGGTTTTGCATGGGATGAGTCATCAGTTGCTTTGTGACCAGTTGTTTTTTCTTGGTCCATCTTGGTGACCGATTTTTTTCTTGGTCCACCACTTCATGGATTTTTGCCGTGTCACCCGTTTTTTTCCGCATCCATCTTGGTTTATGCCCTGGCCCTGCCAGCTCTGACCTCTTCTGAAATTTCCGGACTGGAAAGGATGGCTAGGCGGCACAGCTTCAGTTCCTCTTGCATCAAGCAAAACTGCCGCCTTCAAGGGTACCTGTGCTGTGTTATCATTTGGGTACCCTTCCTCCAACTAACATGGCACCTGGGAGGTACTTGGAAGACTAGTTTCCTTTTGAAGGGACTCCCTGTCAGTTGCCATGGTTGGAGGGTGGGTACCATTTTTTGGGTTGCAATCTTTCTTAGGACCATTTTTTGGGTACCATTTTTTTGGGTGGCTCCAGGACCCGCAAAAAAAGCAGCTGCCCGTCTTCCCCGAACCGTGCGGGTCCTGAAAAGGAGCGAAAGTTCGACCTCAGCAGGCTGCCTGAGGAGGCGAGAGAGCCTTGGGGGGGGTGGCCATGAACCTTGGGGGGTTTTGGACCAAACAAAAAATTAGGGAACGCACGCGTTGGACCCACAGAGTGACCATGGCATTTGTTTTTTTGTTTTTTCCGCGTTGGTTGTCCACCTTCAAGTGATATTTCACGCGCTAGAGGTAATTTGCGAGTGTCCCCAAGCTGGATTGAAATGAACTTGTCGCTGGACAATGATCAGGCTTATGGATTGGTTGGGGATTCAAGGCTCCGGCTCTTTTAGAGGATACAAGCATGGGAAACCAACCAAAGCCTGTAAACCAATGGGGTCCCATCTTTGGGTGATAGAGTTTTGAGTGCCATGGGGACACAACTGAAATTCGATCAGAATGGTTGCACCAGGAGGTCTGAAAGAAGTGTGCTTCGTTACTCTGCGGATATGTTTGCCAGCAGAGGTATCCCTTTCCTCTTGTTCAGGGTTCTCCACGAGAAGTTGCCAACCCAAGCGTTCCGCTTTTGCAACTGAGTTGGTTGACTGGTGTGGACCTGATTTGAATTTTGTCCGACTTGGTGAATGCGGGATTCCGGGGACTATGGCAAGGGGCGCCCAAACCAGCCCAACCACACAGACAGGTTTATTAATCCTTGGTTCCCATAGGCCATGAGACAGCCACTTGCTTGGAGCACTCTCTAGGGGCCAACCCTGTCACACGCCAACCTCTTATGTGTGTGTGTGTGAGCCGAATTCAAGGTGAGCCATAATGAATCGTGCTGGTGCTCAGACGAAACCGTCCAACTGGTAGTTTCCTTTGAGGGGACCGAAGCCTGGGTTCATTCCCTCATTTTTTGCGTATCGCACCAGCACGTCATCAAACCCCGAGTAATTGGAGGGTAAAAGACAGTTCCAACCACAAATTGGTGCAGCCGCCAAATTCACCACGTGGGTTTGGGTAGAGTGACAAGTGATGCGCATCTGGAACTGTGTTTTCTTGCTTGTAGCAAGTTGTAATTGAATAGGAGCGGTATCTGATCCACCGCGCAAGCAGAAGGAGGTAAACTCGTCCGCTATGTCCAAAGACATGTTCACCAGAGCCGCGGGGCAACAGCTAGTTCTTGCTGAGGTATGAGTATGAGTTTTGTTTGGCCAGTCCAAACTGCTGAAGTCCGGTTCCACAAGATGCACTTGGGTTGCGAGGTGCTATGGGGTAATTACATCAAAGCCCAAGTTCTAGAGAGTGTCGCTAGGCAATTAAACAACTAGCAACTGACAAAGGCTGCACCTTCTCTTCCAGTGCAGGTTCACCCGTCGGAACTGGGATCATCAGAGAGCGTGGAGAGGCAAATTCACCACTGAGACGAATGATCCCGAATGATCATAAGACAGTGTTTGGATGGTGTGTTCCAAACTAGGAATGCCCCCCGTTTGATGTGTTTAGAGGGAAACCAGTAGAAACCTCCACATGTTTGGACGCCGGCTAGTTTGAGAAACACCTGTCTATCTCCTACTTATTTTGACCAGTTACCCCATGTTTCCAGTGACATACTTATATCAATGAATCCCCCACGATACTTCCATCGTTTTGAGAAGACTGTTGAGAGTCCCACCTGTCTATCCCCTACTTATATTAACCAGCTCATTCCCCTACAAAGACCTAAACCATTCCTCAAAGACAAAAGCCTTTGCGTCATGTTTCCTTTTTTGAATGGCTTTCGAGTGGTTCCTCCTGGGTTTTCTGGGTTTTCTCGCGTAGGAAGCCTGGGGGCGCAAGCGCATCATCCCGAGCTGCCAATGCCGCGCCCGGGGGCACCAGCGACCATTTCGGCCCAGCAGGTGGAATTGTGGCCATTTTGGCAAACCAAACCGAGCAAGCAAAGAGGAGGCTCCGGTTTTCTTTTTTTTGCCCCATGGTCACTGTGCAGGGGGGAAAGCATGCAAGACCCGGTAAAATGGTAGATAGGGAACCAGGTGGAAACCATCATGTAAAACCTAGAGGTGATGTGTTTGTTGGTTACCTATAGTGGCTCTCCAGGGTGAAAGTAGGCTCAAGCCTCTTTATGAGATAACGGGGATGACAGAAAGGGTACTTTCACCCAACAGGAACTCTTGCTGGTCAGGGAAGTCAAGAGGAAACCAAAGCCCATTTTGGGAATACCGTATGTTGACACGTGTGCCCATAAGGATAGTACAGAGTGGGGTTGCTCAGAATTCAAAACCCTGGGTGCCTGAAGGATTGGGACAGTCCCAACTAGGGTGCTACAGCGTTTTGGAGGTTTTTGGTTGCAAACACTTTTGAATGTGTTGAGCTGCGTGTTGAGCAGACTTCTTCAACTAGGTCCCCCAGTAGTGCCCTTTTACCCTTTTTTGGGGGAGGGTTTCCCTGCTAAAATAGACTACAGAAAAAAGGGTGCCCTTATTCCAGTCTAACCTCTCTAATGGAGGACCTAGTCAATACCAGCCTTTTCTTTTGGGGTCGCTCAATGCCGGGGTTTGATTGTGACTGGCCATGGATGTTGTGGGAGCCAAGGAGCTGGAGATACTTCACATCCCAAATGGAAATGAGGAGCTAAGGAGCCGCAATCACATCCCACACAGAAATTTTAATCGCTTTGTTTGGGATCTCCTCCAAAGCTGTTATATATAAATATGTATATGTATTTGAATTGAACATATATATATATATATATATATATATTTATTTATTTATATTTTCTGGGCCTGCGGCCTCTAGCCGGCTACGCCTCTTTGAAGTTATACCATGTCATGTCATGTTTTTCGTATGAGAAACATATTCTGTGCTATGATATGGTTGGTTAGGTTATGCATGTTGCCCACCCCAACCCCAGATGATGCAGGGGATGCCAGCTTTCTGGGCCAGCCGGGCCCCAACCCAGAAGGCTGACATGGGGTCGCGCGCGCGCGCGCCAGAGGACCCAAAAAAAGCAGCCCAAAAAGAGCAGCCCGCAAGCCAGGCCGGAAACGCAAATGCAACAAAACACCGTAAAACGCGGCGTTTTGTGGCTGGGGTCGCGCGCGCGCGCGCCAGAAGGCCCGAAAACCAACGGAAAAAAAGCAAGGACCGCGCAGCACGCGAGCCAGCCACAGCAAAAGCAAAACGGACAGAACAACAACAAACCGCTCAGCGCAGCAGTTCTTGACGGTATTTACAGCGTTTTGTAGCGCGAGGACCCAGCATCGCCGGCATGCCCGGTAGCTCTTGGCGCCAAAATGCGCGAAAATGAGCCTCGCTTATATCCCTCCGATACCTTCTAAAAAACAGTGCTTCATGGGTTGAGAGGCTTTTTGGAAGGAAGTCTTGATGATGCAGACCAAGCCCCGCTGAAGCATCACCCAGGCCCAACCCCAGACCCTGATGATGTCAGCCACATGGCATAAACCCTGCATATACGCGATGTTTTGCGAGGGTGTCCCACAGGCGAGCAAAACCGGGTGATGCAGAGGTGCCGGATTTAGGCAGCGCATCACGACCAAGCGGCGAGGGTCGGCGGCACCAGGGTGCAGCCCCTATATCCGGCTACGCCTCCTTGGGGTATCATGAATCATGTCCCCGCTAGGCAATTAGCCTGCTAGCTTTAGCTATAGCAGCTGCACCCTGGTGCCGCCGACCCTCGCCACTTGGTCGTGATGCGCGGCCTAAATCCGGCACCTTTGCATCACCAGCTCGGGCTTGCGGTTTTGCTTGACTGTGAGAAACCCTCGCACAACATCGCGTATATGCAGGGTTTAGGCCATGTGGCTGACATCGTCAGGGTCTGGGGTTGGGCCTGGGTGATGCTTCAGCGGGGCTTGGTCTGCATCATCAAGACTTCCTTCCAAAAAGCCTCTCCACTTAAAAAGCACTGTTTTTAAGTAGGTTTCGGAGGGGAATAAGCGAGGCTCATTTTCGCGCATTTTGGCGCCAAGAGCTACCGGGCATGCCGGCGATGCTGGGTCCTCGCGCTACAAAACGCTGTAAATACCACCAAAAACAGCTGTGCTGAGCGTTGGGCTGTTGTTCTGTCCGTTTTGCTTTTGCTGTGGCTGGCTCGCGCGCTGCGCGGTCCTTGCTTTTTTCGCGTTGGTTTTCGGGCCTTCTGGCGCGCGCGCGCGACCCCAGCCACAAAACGCCACGTTTTACGGTGTTTTGTTGCATTTGCGTTTCCGGCCTGGCTTGCGGGCTGCTCTTTTTGGGCTGCTTTTTTTGGGTCCTCTGGCGCGCGCGCGCGCGACCCCATGTCAGCCTTCTGGGTTGGGGCCCGGATGGGGCCCTGAAAGCCGGCATCCCCGGCATTATCTGGGGTTAAGGTGGGCAACATGCATAACCTAACCAGCCATATCATAGCACACGCTACGTTCCTCAGGCAAAAAACATGACATGACATGGTATAACTTCAAAGAGGCGTAGCCGGCTAGAGGCCGCAGGCCCAGAAAATAGCTAAAGCTAGCAGGCTAATTGCCTAGCGGCGACATGCTATTTCAGGAGGCGTAGCCGGATTTAAGGGCTGCCGCCCGGTGCCGCCGCCTTTGCAGGGTCACTGTCCCTTCGGGGTCTGTGGATGCTTTGGCTGGTTTGGGTAGGCTCTTGTTTCCTTTTTGGGCAGCGTTCCCTTGCCTTTTTTTGGCCTCTGAGGCAGACTGCGGGGTCTGCGGATATTCGGGCTGCCTTTTGGTAGCGTTTTTTGTTTGTTTGGGGACTTGCCTGTGTGACCCCGGGGTCTGCGGATGCTCGGGCTGCCCCGGGGTCTTTCCTGTATGTTGGTTTGTGAGGCAGACCCCCGGGGTCTGCGGATACTCGGGCTGCCTTTGGTAGTACTATAGGTAGACCCCGGGGTCTGTGGATACTCGGGCTGCTGTTGGCAGTGTTTCTTTTTGCTTGGGGGGCACTTTCCTGTATGTTGGTTTGTTTCTTGTTCTGCTCGTCTGCTCGCCTGTTGCCTGCCTGCTGTCCTGCCTGCCTGCCCTGCCTGTTTCTTGTTTGCTCGCTTGCTTCCTGCCCGGGCGATGGCTTGTCCGCGTGCTTTCTTGCTTGCGCGTCTGTTTGCCGGCCTGCCGGCCTATTGGGGTATGACCCCTGGAGCTGCTTCAAGCGGAAACTGGCACAGCCGCCCGGCAAAGCACGCGGTGGAGGAGGACGCAGAAATCGACAGCGCGCCGTCGTACTGCAGGCGCCGAGTGTTGTTCTGAGGTTGACTTTGATTTGCTAGAAGAGGGGGGAACAGAAGAGACAGGTTCATGCCCTGAGCACGCGATCCGAGGGGATTGACCCGAGGATTCACCATGGCCGGGGTTGCGCGGAGATTGATCCGCGTACGCGTGTGCAGGCCTTGAAACCGTCTCTTATGTTCTCCTCTGTTCTGGCAGGGGGGGTTGATGAGGGGTGATAATGATGTTGGTGCGCTGGTGATGCATTTGGTTTTTACATAGCCCCCCGGGTGGCTATAACTCCCGACCCCCAGGGGATAACCCCCGTAAAGAAAATTGCCGCAGTCATTTTTGTGAGCTTTTTTCTTTTGAGGGCTCCCGGAGGTGTTTTTCTGTGTTTTTGTCCAACCCGAACGGTGCTCCCAGGCACCGCTCCGGCCTTACTTCGGGCTGTTTTCTGTTTCTGGGTTTTGCATGTTTGCGCCGGTTTTGGTGATGCGGAGACGAGGGATTCCTGTGTCTGTGATGCCGCTTTTCCTGGCCCGTTTTGCTGATTTTTGTCGGTGCTCCCGGGCACGACCCCTCCCGCCCGGGCACGACCCCTCCCCTATTTTTGCGGGCTGGCCTTTTGTCTTCCTAGGTCCTAGCTGCCTGCCTGCCTGCCCGCCTGCCTGCCCGTTTGTTAGCTTGCCTTCCTGTGTGACTGCTTGCCTTTTTTCTCTCCTGCCTATGTGCCTGTCCGTGCGCCCGCTTTTTTGATGGCTTGCCTTTCTTGTGTTCCTACGTCTGTATGTATATGCATATGTAGATGTATATGTTTATGTGCATGTTTTCTGATGTTGGGTGCAATTCGAAATGTTCATGCTGGTGTATGAATGTATGTATGTAATGTAATGCAATGCAATGTAATGTAATGCAATGCAATGTAATGCAATGAAATGTAGAGTAGTGTAGTGTAGTGTGTAGTGTAGTGTAGTGTAGTGTATGTACTGTATGTGCTGTATGTATGTATGTATGCATGCATGCATGCATGTATGTATGTATGTAGTGTATGTGTGTAATGTAATGTAATGTAGTGTAGTGTAATGTAATGTAATGTATGTATGTATGCATGTATGTATGTTATGTTATGTATGTATGCATGTATGTATGCATGTATGCATGTATGTATTGCATGTATGTATGTATGTAATGTAATGTAATGGAATGGAATGTAGTGTAATGTATGTATGTATGTATGTATGACAGTATGACAGTATGACATGTATGTATGTATGTATGTAAGACATGTGTGTATGTATGTGTGTAATGTCTGTATGTATGTAATGAATGTATGTATGTATGCCATGTAATGTAATGTAATGCAATGGAATGGAATGGAATGTAATGTAATGTATGTATGTATGTATGTATGACAGTATGACAGTATGACATGTAAGTATGTATGTATGCATGTAATGTAATGTAATGTAATGTCATGTATGTATGTATGTATGTATGTGTGTATGTGTGTATGTAATGTATGTATGCATGTAGGCATGCATGCATTCATGCATGCCATGCATGTATTCCATGTATGTATGTATGTATGTATGCATGTCTGTACTTTTTTCATGTCTGTAGTGTATGTATGTATGTATGTACGTATGTATGTATGTATGGTATGTATGTATGTATGTAATGTATGTATGTATGTATGTAATGTAATGTAATGTAATGTAATGTAATGTAATGTAATGTATGTATGTATGTAATGTTATTAATGTATGTATGTAATGTAATGTAATGTAATGTATGTATATGTATGTATGTATGTAATGTATGTATGTATGTATGTATCTATGTAATGTATGTAATGTATGTATGTATGTATGTATGTATGTATGTATGTATGTATGCATATATATATATATATGTATGTATGTATGTATGTATGTATGTATTTTGTATGTTGTGTATGTAATGTATGCATGTTTTATGTAATGTATGTATGTATGCATGCATGCATGTAATGCATGTATGTATGTAATGCATGTATGTATGTATGTATGTTATGTATGTATGTAATGTATGTAATGTATGTATGTAATGTAATGTAAGGTAGTGTAATGTAAAGTAATGGTGATGGAAATGGAAATGGTAATGGTAAGTGAAATGTTTTGGTAAATGTAATGTAATGGTACATGTAATGTAATGTAATGTAATGTAATGTAATGTAATGTAAAATATCATCGTTTCTGAAAAAAGTAGCGCCACGGTATTGATGATGAACAGGATGAGGAACATGATGATGCAAATGATGATGATGATGATGATGATGAAGGTGCTGATGATGATGACCATGATGATGAAAATGAACACCACCATCAACACGTTCATCATCATAATGGTCAGGATCATCATCATCATCATCATTTTCATCATCTCATCATTCATCATGTTCCTCACGAAAGAGGGATGCCAAAAAAGAGGGGTTTGCGTCAAAGCATACTGCTGTCGGCGATGCAGGCACTGCCACCTTAGTACGTAGATGCACAGGCAACAAAATTATTGTAAAGGAGGGCCCGACCTGCCAGGCACGCAAGGGACACCATGTGGTGTGCCCGGTCTCGGGCCATCTCATGCGGGTGCCATGCTCATCATCATCATCATCCTGATGACACTCATCACTACGCATCCTCGGCATCGCCAGCAGTTATCATGACAATCATCGCATCCTCTGCATTTCCAGTCGGGTCTAACGGCACACTTGAAACGCACATGAACAAGAAGAGCGACATGAACATGATGAACATGATGATGCAAATGATGATGATGATGAACGTGACGATGATGATGATGAAACTGATGATGATGAGCATGAACATGATGAAGAAGAACACCACCATCATCACTTTCATCATCATGTTCATCATGATCATGTTCATCATATAACCATCACTACGCATCCTCATTATCAGCATTTCACGTCATCACTACGCACAGCTATAGTTATCATGACAACGCGTCACCTGCATCTCCAGTCAGGTCTAACGGCACACTTGAAACGTATATGAAAAGAAAGAGCGCCACGGTAATGATGATGATCCGGATGCCGTGAACCATCACCCAACATCAGTGGTGATGATAATCGTCACTAAGACAAGGACAAAGACAAGCCCTTCCCACGCGCCTCCCCTTTCAAGAAAGGGGTCGGCGGATATATGGTCCCCCCCCCAAGATCCACCTCCAGCTTTGGACGCAGCTAAAACACTGCCAACACACTGTAATTTACAGTGCTTTGAGCAGTTTTCAACTGTTTTCAGATGAAAGCAAAACAGATTTCGTTTAGATTTGACATTGTTTTTGTCAGATGGGTTGATCCTGGACAAGATGTGATGCTGGCAGATGTTTTGGTTTGAATATGCATGTTCATACGGTATTTGCAGCAATTTTGAGCCCGAAGAAGGATAGGCCAGCAGAAGTTTGCAGATGATTTGTGATTGAACATGTTTACAAAACAACAACATTTTTATTGCATTTTTTCTGTTTGGGAAGGTCATGGTGTTCAAAGTGCTGTACTGTCCCTATTTTTTGTGTTTCCAAACCAAAAATATGGACAGCGCAGCGCTTTTGAGGTCAGGGTGCTTAAAGTGCTGTACTGTCCCTATTGTTTGTGTTTCCAAAGCAAAACGATAGGGACAGTACACCACTTTCGAGGTCAGGGTGCTCAAAGTGCTGTATTTATCTTTTTTTGTGTTTCCAAGCAAAAAAAAGTACAGCACTTTGGACATCAGGGTGCTTAAAGTGCTGTACTGTCCATATCTGATTGCTTTGGAAAGCGAAAAGTGCTGTTTTAAAAAACAATTATTTCAGAGTCGTGCATGGCCAAGAGCCTGAGAGCGCTTTTGGCCCTCCAAAGCCAAAACATAGGGACAGCGCAGCACTTTTGAGGCCGGTGCTCCAACGTGCTGTGCTGTCCTTTTTTTGTGTTTTCAAAGCAACAAAATAGGGACAGTACATCACTTTTGAGGTCAGGGTGTTTCCAAAGCAAAATAAGCACAGTACAGCACTTTTGAGGTCAGGGTGCTCCAAAGTGCTGTGCTGTTTTTTTGGTGGGTTTTCAAAGCAAGAAAATAGGAACAGTACAGCGCTTTTAAGGTCAGGGTGCTCCAAAGTGCTGTGCTGTCGATATTTTTTGTGTTTCCAAAGCAAAAAACAAAAAGGACAGTGCAGCACTTTTGAGGTCAGGGTGCTCCAAAGTGCTGTACTGTCCTATTTTTCTTGTTTCCAAAGCAACAAAATAGGGACAGTGCAGCACTTTGGAGATCAGGGTAAGTGCTGTACTGTCCTCATGTTTTGTGTCTCCAAAGCAAAAAAAATAGGGACAGTACAGCACTTCTGTGTTTCCAAAGCAAAAAAAAGACAGCGCAGCACTTTTGAGGTCAGGGTGCTCCAAAGTGCTGTAATAAAGCATAGGGACAGTACAGCACTTTTGAGGTTAGGGTGCTCCAAAGTGCTGCGCTGTCCCTATTTTTTGTGTTTCCAAAGC